GAACATCCTTGTTCCCTGCCCCCAGGACCCTGTCTGCAGAGTCATACTGTGACTCCAGCCACTGCTTGTATTCCCTGCACGTCCCATGCAGAGCAATGAACCCCCAGGTGTGGTGGGAGAATTCATCAGCCTCCCGACAGGGCTAACGATTTACTCCTGAGAAATAATCCATATCTGGATAATGGATCACCCCGACTCCCTGAGACCATTTGTCTTGGCACTTAAATGGCACCAGAATCCAGGGCCAGAACTCTATCCCAGGTTCATTGGTAGATGAATAGGCTGGAATAATAATGTTAAGGATTATGATCAGGAACACTTTGTATTTGCATGGTGCTTTTTAAACTTTATAAATTTGGAGGAGATTAACCTTCCTTGGTTCATCACTTTTGAATCCCACACACTGTGGACCCTTCTTGCAAATTCAGAAGCAAGGGCTTTTAAGTGACTCACCCAGAGTCATTTAGCCTGTTACTGGCAGAAATAGGAAAACTCTATTTTTCTGACTTCCTGAGATTCTTTCCTCTAAATGCTAGATGTCCTTCTGGTCTCTGGGTCTCACTGTTCATTTCTGGAAAATGGAAGCCAATACTGAGAGATAGTATACTGAAGAGGGTCACTGTCAGAGAGTTTGAAGGCTGGGTCTGAGTCCTGATTCTGCATTAGCCAACTGTGTGGCCTTGGGCAGGTTGTTTATTCACTGAGAACCTCAATTTCCTCCTCTATGAAATGGGAATCCTAATAAGGTTTTCTCATAGGACTGTTATGAAGATGAAGAGAGATTATGCATGAAAAGTGCTTAATATTGTGCCTGGCTCATAGTAAAAGCTCCATGAGTGTTAGCTATGATTATTACTACTGCCTGTCTCTTTGTAGGATGCTGAGCGTACTCATGCAAATGCATGAGAAAATTCGTCTGGGGGAAGGGAAGACATAATTGATGAGCCAGCTTCCACAGAGGTGTCCCTGAGGCCATCAATGGGGGAAGGGACCCAGAAGGGTGAATTCTAATGGCAGAAGGAGCTAGGTATCTTCATGGGCTGGGGGGAGGGGTACTGGGCTGGTTCTAGGGAACTGGAAACAGGCAAAAACAGGAAGGAGCTTGGGGGATCTGTGTTCATCCCTAGACATGTGTCAGTAGCATGTTGTTCAGCAGAATCAGTTGCTGGCCTTCAATTCCAGCCAGCTAGTGTTTCCCTTCTCAGGGTCTCAGCTGTCAGTTTATTGGGATGATTCCCTTCCTCAAAAGCTGGACAGAGGACTTTTTCTTCAGGGAATATTGAAGCCAAAAAGATTTTGCCAAAGGCCAGAACAAACTAAAACTAATGAAATCTTGTGCAGAAGCCTTTTGCATAAATGGAAGTTCTCTGTACAAATAAATGTAAAGATGATTATTCATATTCTCAATAATAACAGAAACCATCAATCTTTAGAGCTCATTCTGTGGAGTGTGGCTGCTAGAGGTTGACACATCATCTCAGATGGCAAGAAAGATCCCCAGGGTCCACCTGTGTGCAGAATCACAGCCTGCATTCTCCTCCTGCTTTACTGGGACCTCATCCTCCTAGAGTCACACACATAATTCAGCCTTCAGTGAAATATCCTGACGCTATTGAGGCTCCCTGGAGAATGGATGCTGTGCAGAGGCGGGGAGTGTGGGCTCCTGACTTCAAGCTGCGGGAAGGCGAGGAATTGATACATCTCCTAAGCACAAAGGGCTCACCTCCTTTGGAGATGAGAAGGGCTTTGTCAAAGCCTGGTGGTTTATTAATAATTCTCTCAACTGAAGAGAGCCCCGTGCTTACCAACTGACAAGTATTTAGTGAGAACCCTCTGTGGGGGATCTAAAGAGGTTTGGCAGAGCTGACAATGTGGTTGAGAAGACAGACCACAGACATATAAAGATCATTGACAATACAAAGCAACCCCTTTGACAAAGAGATACAAGCAGCTGGAGTAAAGTGAAAAAATATAAGATACAGAGTCAGGAGACTTGACGTCACTTTATCTCTTTGACCCTTGGTTTCCCTATCCTCTTGGAAATGCAGCTTGGTGGCATTGAAAGAACATTAACTTTGGAGTCAGACCAACCTGACTTAAAATTTCAATTACCTTACAAACTAACTAGGGGTCCTTGAACCTGTTACTTAACTCCTATGAGGCACAATTATCTTATGTATAAATTGGGGTATAATAGTAGCCCTATGTAAAGCACTGAACATAATGCCTGGCACACGGTAATCATACAATAATCAGTTCCTATTATTATAATATGCAGGGAGAAAGACAGGGAATGTTTAGAAATAGAAAGATTTTATTTTCTTTTTCAGCTCTTTATATGCCTGACATTACATTTCATAGGAATGCAAACTAAAAAAAATACTTATAGGTAAACAATAATTATGACATCACTCTGTGATACCTTTATATGCCTCCTCAGTATTGCTCACTAAATTTGGTGTGATCAAATTTACAGAACAATGAAATAGTAGAGGAGGGAAATTATATACTCCTTGAAATCTTAGGCATCTCTCTGAGCTTCAGTTTTCCCATCTGTAAAATGTAGCTAAGAACAGCTACTTCACAGGGCTGTTGTGGAAATTAAATTAATATGCATATAAAGCATTTGGTATAGAATAGGCAGAAAACAAATGTTAGCTCCATTCCCCTTCTCTCATAAAAAAATGGGAATGATAAAGAACCAACCTCACCAGGTTATAATAAGGAGGAAGTCAGATGAATAGAGAATGTTTGTAAACTGAAAGACCCCCAATACCAGCCTTTATGGAACATTTGTTATGTACAAGTCACTGGGTGGTTAACAAATGTTAATCAACTGGATAAACATTAATTGTGTCCTATATACAGGACACCATTTTAGGTGTTGTGAGTAATCTAGAGAGATCAGGACCGTGGGAGTGGATGAGCTCCTCCACACAATAACAGAGCATTAAGGAGGGGACATTGAGGGATGCTCCTGTTTAGGGTGCCAGAGGAGAATGCAAAGAGATAAGGAGAAATCACTGATAAGAACATTAGTCTATCACAATATCCTCAAAGACATATGGAAGAGTCTGAATATCTGTGTGGGCTATGGGAAGAAGCCCATGGGGGGGGGAAAGAAGATGAATAAACAGGTGAGAGAGAGGAATAATGAATAGGCAGCAGTCTGGGAGGTGCAGCTAAGGAAAGAGGGACTTTCAATTAGTATGGACTAAGGAATCGAGGGGCAGCAAATGCTGCCACTTTGTCAAGAAGATTGAGAACTGGCAAGAGGCCACAGCATGTAGAAGTAGGAATCAGTGAGGGCTTTGGGTAGTGGGTGTGGAGTAGCAAGAAGTAAAATAGTGAGTGGATAGCAGAGACCATCCATTTGAGAAGCTTTGTAGACCCGAGAGCAGGTAGAGAAAGGCTAAGGGAAAGACTGTATTTCCTAGGGAAGGTTGAGATTTGTGTAGGCACAGAGAAGGAGTCAGGGGAAGGGGAGAGGCTGGAGGGACAAGGAAGTGAGAGGCTCCTTAGTGGCTGGGGGGGGCACCAGTAGGAGGGGCTGAGTATCAGTGAAGAGGGCCCCAGAGAGGGTCTTTTTTCTTTTTTTGAGGCAAGAAGGAAGGACAAAAGAACCGAGAGGCCAAGGTTTGGCATTCAGTCCTTGAACCTGGCCGTGAGTGCTAATATCACTATTCCTTCCCCCATACATTTCAGGGCATCTCATTACTACTGAGTAGATTTGAGGGAGAATCTCTGAGGACAGTAAGATGTGCAATTTGGGTGGACATACTGGTGGATCTCTCCCTAGAGAGGTGGAGGAAGCTGTAGACCCATTCCTAGGAAATGGGGCCCCAGAGCGTGGCCCAACCTTCCATCCATGACCTATACCAATGCCACACAGTCTTTCTCCCCAGTTTTCTTCCTCAAATCAGCCCTCTCTTGGAAACAAAGTCAAGGCCACAGTCACTCATAGGCTTGCTCAAATTTTCTTGTTATTTGCTAAGGCACTGGGGGCCCACCATCCTGTGATCTAGCCAAATATTTCTTCTACTGAGGACAAGAAAAAGACATTCTGAATATAGCCTGGTCTTCAGCTTTTTGACATGCACATGCAGCCTTTGAGTGCATCATACAGCCTTACTGCCATTTGATCTGGCCCCAACTATGGCCCTTCTTCTCAAGCAAGGCTGCTCTCTGGTCCTAGGCAGATACAGCTCTGGTGGCTCTCCTTGCCTTGCCCCTTAGCTTAGTCTCTTGGGGTTTAGAGGGTGGATAAGCACTGTAGTTATAAGCCAGGAGTGGCTGAAAGTAGAATAGTGTTCTGGGCCCCAGAAGTAATGAGAGGGGGGCCTTGGGCTGATGCAAGACCCAAAGTAGCTTGGCAGATAGTCAGTCCTTACAATCTTTTGTCCTGGGGCCAGATCTAGTGCTCATATATGCCTCCACAGTACCTGGAAGATAGGAATGCAGGGGAGAAGGACAAACAACTCAGTAGCTAGGGAAGATTAGGGCTTTGGGGCTATCCCTGAGTCCTTTTTTAAGGCCTGAGTTTTTCCAGGATTGAGTTATAGTGGAGAAAGTCTTATTGAAGTGACAAATAGCAATTAACAAAGGAGGTGTTAAAAGTGAGAGAAGCTACAGGCTCAGAAATGTCAGAGAATTCCTTCTTGCATTTTCCTCTCCCCTCTCCTTCCTCTTTTTCTCCCTCCCCTTTTGCTCTTCTCCCTTCCTCTCCTCTTCCCTCCTCCTGCTTGCTCCATCCACCCCCACCCACAGCTACTGATGTGATTTCTCATGATCTACAGTCAAATGCAATTAACCCAACAGGCTCACGAGGGTCCAGCTAAGCTGTCCCATGAACCAATCCTGTGAGCAGACAGACCATGGGAAGTGTCAGGCAGACCCCTGCACCCCGCCCCCTCAGGAGCAATGGCAGCTAAACCAATGAACCAGAGTGGCTTCCCCGCAAATGATCAATAAATCACTTGGGGTCCAAGAAGGATGGGAAACTCCTCGGCAAACGGTGCTCAGGACATTTTCCATGACCTCCTCTGCCTTGAGTGTCCATGGTGCACCAGCCACACAGGCCTGGACTGACTCTGCTCTCAAGGTACTGCTCCCAGATTCTGTCTGGCCCATCTCAGTTTCAGAGGGAGGTCATTGATTCCAATGGGATGTGACAGGTTCCATCTTTAGGCATCTGGCTCTGCTCCCAGTGGCAGGAGCTGTCGCTGACTGCAAATCCCCCGAGTGCCATGCTGGTCTGAAGAAAGCAAGCCCTAGGATAAGCAGATGACCTTTCAAGAGCCCACGATCCTAAGGTGGGATGGCAGAATGATATAATGGACCCAGCCCTGGACTAGAAGGCTGGACACTTGGCTTCTAGTTCCATTTCAGCTACTAACTTGCTGGGCGATGTTGGGTAAGTCACTTTCCTACCCTGAATCTCCGTGCCCTGCCCTGGATGTGAGGAAGTTGGACTAGATTATCTCTAATGACACTTCCAGTCACGGTAAGCAAACCCTGATTTTTTTTTTAAATCTATTTTTGGAAAAATTCCGATTAGAATTTTGGGGGGATTCCTTCTTTAGGCCTTCCATTTAGCTGCTCTGCCCCCAAATAACGTCACCCTAAACTCCCACTCAGCACACGCAGACATTTCCCAGCACCCAAACACCATCTAAGACATCAAAACTACTCACGGGTCTAGCCTGCCTCTCTTACTGAGCTAGTTCTGTGCTTGGGGCTGGGCCATCTTGATGGACCCCTGAGGTGGGACCCTGTGGGAGGGTATATGCCTTTGACCCCCAGAGTTTAGCATAAGCAGATAGGATGGCCACTTACATGGAGACATTTCCCCCAAGTGTGTATTTTCAAACTTTTTACCATACAGTAAAATTGAAAGAATGGTACACAAATACTTGTACATACCTTCATTAATAATTTGCCATGTTTGCATGCTCTCTCCTCTCTCTGTCTTTCACTCTTGCTTTCTTGCTTTTGCTCTCATTCTCATTCTGAGAGTGTATCACAGATATCATGACACTTCCCTCTTAAATACTTCAGTATATATCTCCTAAGAATAAGGATGTTCTTAGCTGGGAAGCTTTTTTAAGGGCTCTGCAATTCTCAGCTAGGGGAAAGTCTTCAGTCTCTGGAGTCTAAAGGGGGACAGAAAGTATATATGAGGTCTAAAGACCAGATTTCAGTCTGGATATGGGTAGTGCAAGAAGAAGCTAAGCACAGGAGAAAGGAGGCACAAACAGTGGCTCAAGTATAGGCTCCAAACTAAAAAAGAAAAAAAAAAAAAAAAGAGGAAGAAGCAAAATGACCTTGGGAAAGTAACTTCCCTTCCTTTAGCTTCAGTTTCTTCATCTATAAAATGGGGATTGTGCTAGTCTCTGTCTTTCCAAAGCTGTACAAAGTTTAGATGTGAAAACAGATTATGAGAACACACCAGGAGCTGCCACACTTAAACATGTAAGGGCAAGTGATTTGCAGAGATGACCTTCTGAGCAAGTGAAGCTAGGGGCAATACTTCCCTGGCCCTGGGCCTGGAAGTCTCTGTTAACACCTGAAAATGGACAGTCCCCCTGCTCAGCCCCCAAATTCCTGCTAATGGAAACCACGGAATTTTCATCTATAATGGAAATCTCAGTGGCTCACATCTCTTGCTGTTTTTCAAAGACATAAACACACACCCCAGTTTTTTCTAGTTCTTTATTTCAGAAACTCCATTTTCTCTTATTGATTGTGGCATCACTTATCTACTTTTTCTTCTTTCTGATTATTTTTTTTTCTGTGCTCCTTTCTTACTTCCTACTATTCTCCCCCAACCTTGTCGAAACTTCTAGAGTTGGAAAATTCTCTCATCCTACCTAGCCCTAGCTCAAAGAGCAAAACTGCTTTACAAAATTAAGAGAGCATTTGGGATTTTTAACTTGATTTTATCTTTTCATTCAACCAGAGGGGGTATGTGTGTGGGAGATGCACTTGTCAACTAAAAGCAATTTCTCTGCCTCCTTGGGGACTGAAGCGTAATCGTAGCTCTGTCTTCCTGGTGTCAGGATGAAACTTGCATTTTCCTGAGTGGTGTCAGCACACTGACAGACAGCTCCTGGGATCTAGTGAGAGGTACTGGAAAAGAACGGGTGGCAGCAGTGGGGGGGCCAAGATCCAGAGGCTGGCCTTGGCTCATCTCTCTTCCCCTGGGTGACTTTGGGCTAGTCACTTAGTGTCTTTTGCCTCAGCTCTTCTAACTTAAAAAATGGGAATAATTCTCTCCCATTTCTACCTCATAAAGACGATGCCAAGACCTTGTCAGGTTTTGGTTAATATGACAGTGTTTGGAAGCAATGGAATTATGGGAGGAAAAATGTGCTACGGAAGCAGTGTATCCTAGGAATGCTAAGTAGCTAGAAAGGAACTTCAAGTTTTCCTTGTACAATCCCATTTGGGAAATGAGGAAACTCAGACCTTTCTGAGGTTCAAAAGGTCCCCCCATAATTTCGCTATGTTTCCCATGAGCCCAGATAAATCTTTCCCAAACAGAAAATCAGAGAGGCAAAGTCCGAGGTCTTAAGGCTAATAGCCCCTTTTAGAGAGCACAAACAATCCCTGTGCACACCATGTAAACCTTCTAATAGGACTCCTCAAAAGGGAGTGCTGGGAGACAGGGTTGCTAATCGCCAATTCCATCCAGGGGCCTGGAGGTAGAGTCCTCTGCCATCTCACCCCTGAAACTGCGGAGCCTTCATGACAACCTGTTGAAGGAAGTGAGCAGGGGGCTAGGGATCCCCATTACATAGAGGAGGAGCCCCGGGCTCAGATTGGGAGGCAGACCTGCTTGCATTCATCCAGCTAGTCGGTCGGCACGCCCAGCCTCACTCCTGATATTTTAACTTTAAATGACATGCTTTTTCCACTGCACTCCAACTGCCTTTGTGTGACGCAAGGAACCCAACAGGTAGGGAGTCTCAATGAGATAAGCAGACTGAAAAATGCTATGTAGGCATACACCAAGTTCTCAGAAAACCCAAATGGATGACTTTTGTGGGGTATGCTATTTTGATACCACTAGACCTTTCCAAGTTTTGAGGTTTGTTCAATTTCTCATTCTACATATTTACCCACACACCAAAAGGAAGTAGAGCAGGGTGAAAGGGATCAAGTTCTCCGGATGGCTGCCCCAGTGTTCCTTGTAGCTGGAGTGCCGTGGGGAGATAGTGCTGAGGGGTTTTCAGGGTAAGACTTCTTTCCTTTATATTAGAGTTTCTTTAACTTCATTGGATATAAGAGCCCCATGGGGAGCTTACTAAAAATGTTTTTTTCTGGTCCCCATGCCCAGAAATTCTTGTTCAGTAAGCCTGGTGTGGGAGCAGGGAATCTGCATTTTTACAGCACATCCAAAGTGATTCTGATGCATCTGGTCCAATGGGCCATACTTTGTGAAACCGTGATTCGTGACAATCTTTGATTCTTGGAATCCCATTTAATTAGCAACTGTTTGCCTGGGTGACAAGTACTTTTGAGCTTCAGAGAAAAAGATAGGAAGGTCTGAAGCCTTCCTTCTCACAGTCCACAAGCCTTCAACTTGACTTCGTCACTGTGCCTTCTTCCCAGTTAAACATATATTTTCTCTCTGCTAAAGACCTCATGGTAAAACAGTGACGTAAGTAAGGAGCAGGGTGCCTGTCTCTTAATTGGAATTGCAATGAGAGACCCTGAAGAGGCAACTAGCTGTCAAGCTTGAGGCTTTGGGCTGTCAGAGTGAGGGCAGATATACCCAACCTTCCCCTTGTGAGCACATGCCTTAGGTTGAGAGGTTGCAGACCCAAGCTAGCAGGCTTCTAACTGCACATAGCAGGTGCTAAGGGCCTCTGCGTTCTGGGGAAGGAGGTATCATAACCAGTTATGTGCCTCTGCACAGGAAAGGCACCTTGCATTTTACTCACAGACCAACTTTCAGCTTTTTCTGGGTCACCAAAGCCAGCCCCAGTGTCCTGTACAATAGTACAACCCCAGCCTAAAGGCACCAGTCATTCCCTTATCCTTTCTTCAGCAGAGACAGGGTTATAGAGTTTTTCTTTAGGTAGTATCTTTTAACTCCAGAAATAAGATATGCTTATTAAATAAAGCTTGGAAAATACTAAAATATGGATAGTAGCAAAACAATTAAAAATTACCCACAATTGCATTGCTTAAATACAATCAATATTAAGATTCTGGTGTGTTTCCTGTTATCCTTTTTTCCCCTCTATGTGCAGGCTTATTATTTATTTGTACTGCTTATGTAATAATGTACATCTATTTTGCATTTTGATTATTTTTCATTTAAAATAATCATTAGTGTATGCTCAGGTTATCACATGGGCTTTCAAATTATACACTTACAAATAATTGTGCAATCATTCATTGAGCCAATTGACATTATATACATAGCTCAGTGTCTTGCATACAGAGAACATTGGATAAATATTTATTGAGTGAATGGATGGATGGATGGATGGATGAATAGATGAATGCATTCCCCTTGTGTGTGACATCGAGTTGAGGGTAAAGACTTTCAAAGGAACTAAACAGTAATTATGTAGCAGAGGAGGTGGATCAAAGGAAAGGGAGGGAGAGAACTGCAAACTCAACTGCTAAGTACATTTTCTTGAGAATTCTTAACTTACGTTTCTCCTTTTATTTATTTTTTTTCAAGAGTTGGCTTTGGTTTGTCTGGAGCTCATTCACAACCATTAATATCCCCACTTTACAGATGAGGAAAGCCAAGCCTCGGAGAGGCTTCCTAAGTAATTTTCCTGAGATGACACAGCTAGTATACAGCAGAATTGGGCTTTCAGTGTAAACCTGTGAGCATCCTTAGCTTTGTTCCTTTGCCACATCACATCTCTTGCAGAAAAAGGCAACAAAGAAGGATAGCTGTCAGGAGTTTGTATCTCTAGTAGAGCTATTCTGGAAGAAGAGAAACTTCAGTTACTAAGGCTCATTGGATTGCACTGGGCAGGCAGCCTCCTTGTGAAGGAGCCAAGAAAGAAAGAAAGAAAGAAAGAAAGAAAGAAAGAAAGAAAGAAAAAAGAAAAAGGAAAAAGCTCATTCAGCTGGAAAAAAAAAAAAACAAAACCCATTGACACCATGACAAAAGCTGGTGGTGGATAAGCTCATGGGAAGAGGTAAGGCCAAGATTTCAATACCAGGGCCCGAAACTGGACATTTCTAGATGTCAGACTTGTTTGGCTTGGATGACGGGTATTTGTACAGCAGAAATTGGTAAGAGAGCAGGTCTGGTGAATGTTTGTTGTCTTTGATTGCTTTTAGAAAACAGAAAATTGGAAATGATTCTAAAACACTGGTGCAAAGGCAGAGTGGTACCATGTTTCCCAGAAAGGAAGGCAAATGAGTGGAACCCCTTTAAACTATGACTAGAGACTTGACTTTGCTAAGAATTGCATAACAAAGTACAGGTGATTTTTTCCATTTTATGCACCCCTTTTGCGGCATTAATGC